TTTTTTCGCGGATCCTCTAGTCTCCAAACTTCGAGCTCTATCACGGTACCTTGTAGGTAACCCTAACCCTGCTGCAACTAATACTGCTGGTAATAGCGGGTGAATATCCTCTCGCTGCGAGGGTCCAGGGATATTTTCTTATCGCCTCTTTTGGAAGGGAAAAAATGGGGAGGAGAGAGAGAGTTAAGGAAGGAAGGAAAAGGAGGAGAAAGAAAGTGAAAGGAGAAGGAAGGCTCCGCGGTTGACAGATATCTCGGGGAAGTTGTTCGCGTTTAAACGTGTACAGACACGGCATTCCCTGTGGGACCCACGTGCCACGTACTTTCGTCGCCGTGAATCTAATTTCTTCTAGACAATTCCATCATTTATTTTCTTTTCTTCTTTATTGTTTTTATTTCTTGCCGGATCCCTTCTCTTTTCCATCTTATCAGTACTGTAGATGTGTAGAAGTTTTCAGAACATGGGTGCGGTGAAGGTGATCAAGAACAAGGCGTTCTTCAAACGTTTTCAAGTAAAATTAAAAAGGCGGCGTCAAGGCAAAACGGATTATTATGCAAGGAAAAGGCTCACAGTGCAAGACAAAAACAAGTATAACACCCCGAAGTATAGGCTCGTCGCTCGTTTCACCAACAAGGACATTGTGGCCCAGGTGAGATAGTGCAGCTGTACCCATCGAAGGCGCGGCTTCGTTTACATTTGTCTGGGCTACAGAATGTTTTTCTCCGGAATTATTTTTTGAGTTACAAGTGAAAACTTCACATCCACGCCATTGTTTTCTTTCCCATTTTTAGATTGCTTATTCGAAGATTGAAGGAGACGTCGTGGTCACTGCTGCGTATTCGCACGAACTTCCCGCATACGGTATCAAGGTTGGCCTTCATTTCACATTTCAAGTAACGCTACTGATGGTGTCAGTACCAGACACCGAAAATTAGTGAAGTTTAGTATATTGAGTGAGTAAGTTACGAGTTTAGTGAATTTATGCCCACCGCTCCACCAAACAACAACTGAGCGCCCTGCGTTAAGTGTAATGAGAACATTTTTTCGCGTGGCCGCTACATTTCGCCCGACGAACTCCCTACAAGGGAGGCGTCGGAGCCTGTCACCTGGTGAAGCCGCAACCCCTACCCCCCTCCCTATTTCCTGTGAAGCGCGAATGTGATATATCTCAGGATGCGACCAGACTTTCTTGATTATATATATAGAAGGAAGCTACAATTTAATTTTGCGCCGGGGGGGCGGGCTTCATTCGCAAAACTGCGGCATGCAATAACCGTGAGGTTACGGTAGTCAACGTCCATAATCATGTCTTTCAAATAATTTAAGTTTTAGGTTGGTCTGACAAACTACGCTGCTGCGTATGCCACTGGCCTCTTGCTCGCTAGACGCCATCTGAAACAATTGAACTTGGATGAAACGTTCAAGAGGGCAAGACGAGGTGAGGTTATGCTTATATTTCTTCTCTCATACGCAGAGATGAAAATTGACCAGTTACAGGTTACCGGTGAGTACTTCATTGTCGAAGACGAAGGTGGTCGCCGACCGTTCAAAGCCGTGCTGGATGTTGGATTGTCGCGAACAACGACTGGCTGCAAGATTTTCGGTCTCATGAAGGGTGTCGTAGATGGTGGCATCGACGTGCCACACAGGTGGGATCGTCTTACATTTCGTGATCGAAAGACAAGTCTCGGCGTTGAGGACCATGATCCCACGGAAATAATCCCCTTTTTGGTACAGTTAATATCGTCGCAATTGGTCGGGGCGGTATGAGGAGTTGAATGACCACACGTCCGCTGCGTGTTCTACCGCTCATATCACGACTCCTGACACCGCCCGACTGATTGAACAATATGAACTGCACTTTCCTCCTGCCGAAAACGGAGGGGTGTGGCTTTGTACTCCATTTGGTTTTGCGTTTTGATGGAATGCGGCCGTTTGCTCCATCTTCGGGATATGAAGTGTAGGTGTTTATAGCCCTATTAGCCGGCAAACTGTTTGGCTGTTGTCAACCAGACGTGCTCTCGCTGCGAGGGTCCAGGGGTATTTTCACGAGGCATCTACCAGTCCAGTAGTTGAAGGGAGAAGGTAAAGGAGGAGGGATCAGAGAAGGAAAAGGAAAAGAAGGAGGGAGGAAGAAAAAAGGAAAGAGAGGAGAGGCTACCCGGTTGACAAGTGCCCTGAGACGTGGTTTGGCATCATGTCCTTATTCGGTGAGATGAAAGGATTGGTGGCAAAGATGAGCGACAACACCACTCCATTCCCCCTCCCCCTCTTCAAACTGGTCAGTATTCCCTAGCTAGACGACTGTAGCTGTTCCTACGTTAAGACGATTAGATCCTGGTGCGAATGTCGCGACACTGCCCCATACGCATCGCCGCAACGCAGATCTTCTGCCCCTTGACCGTCTGGCCCATTTAGACCTGATTTTCTCGCAACGCTATTTTTAGTTGGGGCTGATGTACAACGAATTTCGTGCCGGCAATGACTTCAGCTCCCCTAGGCGGTGACTGTTGCTGGTATGCTGAATATTTCATAACGAAGCGCCGAATCACAGTAGTCCTTAATGGTTATTGGTTCTTTTTAGGCGGATACAATCCGGGGATCATCAAAGTGGACACGATGGTTGGAGGGCCACGATGGTCTGGAGTGGTGTGGTATCTCGCAAACTCATTGGCGGGTACAGTCTGCGAGAGGCGCTTGGCTACACCTCACTCAGCCCTCCACCAGTGACGTTGGCCGTAACCTCCCGCCGCCAACCATCGTGCTGATTGCCTTTAAGAAATGATTGGACTGCGACCTGAACTTTGGTAACTATCGGCGCCGATACCGATTTTCTTCGGAATACGATGCTGAGACGAAGAAATACGACGCAGCAGCGCATCGTGATCGCATTTTTGGCAAACATGTGGCCGACTATATGAAAATGCTCAAAGAAGAGGATCCGGACGCTTACAAACGTCAATTCTCTCAGTACATCGCTGAGGGCCAATTGAACCAGACGATTTGAGAATGAGGCTTGTCTTGCGGACATACAGAGTCGCGACAGGCGGGGGGCAGCTACAAGAACAGGCCATCCTCACTGCGGTCATCTGCGCCGTCTCCAGCTCACAGGTGTGAAGTGTACTTCCCAGTGGGGGCATCGCAGTATGAGTGGACTTGGGAAGGCAGTTGCCGTTCAGAGCCGTTGCCATGTTGAGTGGGATGGGTCTTGGTGGGAATGCTGCGTACGTCGCCCTTGAAATGCCATTTGGCCGCGACTGGGAAGTGACCCTGCGTATCGTTCAGCTCACTATAGCCTGTTGGCAGGGACAAGTATCTCTTGCGAAGGGGGCGTCAACGAGCACACGTGGTAGGGTCGTCACGTACTCCCCTCCCCCCCTCCAGTTTCCTTAACATCTCACTCTCCCTTGATAATGGAAAGAACTAGTAGTGGAATAACCGCACCACTAGAAAGTCCTTGGAAATGAAGTTTTGGTGTGGCATGGGGCAAAGGGCGGGGCATTGCTTCGACGTGATCGAGTGGCGTCCTTATCACTTACCTTTCGGCCGCGGGACTCTTATAGATTTCTTAGCTATAGACTTTTGTACGACAAAGAAAGGTTCTTATGCATGCATTTTTTGACGACTGTTTAAGATCTACAAGAAAGCTCACGAGCGCATTCGAAGCAATCCAGAACGTGCTGCTCGAGCGCCGAAGAAAGTAACTGAGAAGAAAAGGTAATGGTAGATGTGATTCATATTCAACTGACTCTTACTTGTGACTTTACTATTGACAGCTATCGCATTCATAAGATCAGTTTGGATGAGAGGAAGAAGCGTATCGAGGAGAAGAA